TATCTACCTCTTACTCACAAGTCAACCTCAAACTACATCAGCTGGGGTCTCAGCACGTCCCGATAGCTCAGTTGGCCAAAGCACCTGCCTTCCGGTCCACCCCCACGTAGCGAGGTGGGTGGAGTCGTTTAAGGCGCTCGCTATTTGCCCTCGACAGATATGTCCTGCGACCGGTGGCAGCGGACGCGCTGAAAATCGAGTGACGTCAGAGAGCAGGGTGGACCATGCCGAACATTGCGGCAAGTTGAGCTTTCGCCACCGAACTGCACCGTTGGCCTGGAAGTCTGCGGTCGATCGTAGGGATTCAGCGCTCAAACAACAAACGCTGCCCAGCGTGAGCTCCGATCCCAGAAATCCATCCACTCAAAAGGTTCGGATCTTCAAATCCTCAAAACGGCGGGCATAGCAGACCATTTGGTTTAACGCTTGTAAGCTGCTTCACATACCCTCCGCCGGTGACCTTGGTGTGACCTTTGCACACTGTGATTGGGCCCTGGCTGGTAGACACGCACACAAGTCTATGAATTACATCAAAACTGTCCGAGCAAGAAAGGAAACCACAATTCCTGCGCGTGGTGATAATTGGGGCAGTAGTGACTCTCCAGGACTGTGGATGGTGTCACGTGACGTAGCAGTAGTCCGACACAGCCGCCCGGGTCAGACGATCCCGCTTATCCAGGTGGCAATAGGCCCTTCTTCGACAGTCGGGCGGGCAGAACCACGGGCGCATCCTGAGGCGGGCAGACAGAGCCACGAGCCCATCCTGAGGCTCGTACCCAGTGCCATCTCACTGCAAGCCTGGCATCCTCCGATCAGATCACGTGACGAGTGGCCTCGCGCGCGTAGCGGTGCCCGCGCCGCGCCGCGGCTCCTGCACCCATGTCTGCAATGAGACTCGTATACACAGACATTTAGGAGATTGTCCAGACCCCCCTCATCATGCATCTAAGAAATGGAGCCGCCGTGCATTCATTAAGGCTTGACCATTTGAAACCCCGCAGAGCCCAGCTCGCTGAAAAATTCACTCGATTAAATGAAAAATCCTTGTTCGCTGGCCTCCGCATGCAAACGATGTTTCCTTTAGGTCGAGTAAGGTGGTGTCGGTGTAGTACTTATGTCCGGCTTGAGAAGCAGACAGTGGCCGAACCCAATATCTAACAATATCCACGATCCATCCAATCCTAGTCCACGATCCAGGTTCCCTCCATTCTTTGGTTTTTGCTGGCTGACTGCTTCTCTAGGCCTTTCCCACACAGTTTTCTTCCACACCGTCCCATGTGAGAATTCATAGTGCAATGATAGTATCCAACAATAAAATAAATTTTGACTTTTCTTTCTCGGGAAACCGTTTTTGTCTCGTTGGTTTCGGCTATTGGCGTGTGCACTTCATTTTATTTCACTTAAATTATTTTTAAGTCCTGTTTTGCGTTGTTTTCCTGTACGTCTGCTGCGGATGAGACTTAAATGCTCCAATGCCAAGAACACGAGAGATCCGCCGCCGTCTCGTGCGACGCTCCTGAGACCTCACGGCAGTTTAAAGCTTTCAGCACCAAAATTACAGAAGTTCAAAGCCGAATTGATAGTTTTTGAGCCGACGAAACATGGGGACATGACAAAAACGCAGCATGTTGGTGGGTCACGGCAGTGGTGCCAGCTGTTATCATGCCGGGTGATAAACAGCGTGTTGAAAAACTGGCGTAATGAAAATAGGTCAATGGTAAATTAGATATTTAATACGAAAAAACGTTATTTTGTTACTACGACCATCGTTGACGACGAATAGGCTTTACATGTGTACACGATTGCCACTGGCAACGAATATTTAGTTATGATCAAATCATTAGTCAAATCTTGAATTGAATCGATCAAGTCGTTGCTCAACGTTAAACGTGATTGAAAATAGTGACGCAGAACAGTTCAGGATAATAATGAACAACAAAAGGTGATAAGAAAAAGAGGTTATCGTTGCCAGTTCACCGCTTTATAGGGTCGCAAAGCGTAACCTATTCAGTCTCTGGCTACGACAATGCTACGACGCTATTATGGTCTGCGGTGTGTTCCTGTTAAACTTTCTAAACCATTTGAATGCTCTTTTTCTGCTTGTCTTGTATCCTAGCTGGATCTTCACCGATACACAAAAATATATGGCCGTCGTACATAGTGCACCTGCGAAGGCCATGTAACTCCGACGGCATTAACAAATGGTGCCTGTTCGCAACACCAACTAAAAGTTATGTCTACCAGCTCAAGAGGTAAACGAAGCCATGTACGTTAGGGGACATAATACACCCGCAAGTTGTGTAGCTTAAACTGAGAAGCCCAGGTGTGCAGACCTGATGGTTACCCATGGCAACCCGTTTACCCCTTCTCCCAAGAGCAAAAACACGTGCCGCCACGCACAGCGCGATGTGTTACAAGCAGCGCGTTTCGGGGAGGCGCTCTACAAAGCATTGATATATGACTGGACTGGCCAGTTACATGGATATGTATCAGATATTCCTCGCTTTCGAAACGTTATTGCATTGGGCTTGATGCCGGCGCTGCTCGCTATGGCTGATCGAATCCACACTGAAGTGGGTCTTATTTGTCTTATGATGCCTGCAGACCTGGGGCGCAGGGTGAAGCGTTAGTCTGAGATGGACTTGGTGTACTTAGTTCGCGAGCTTATGCTCACCCGACGTCTGATATGGACGTCTGAAAAGCATTCGTGAGAGGGACAAGAAGAGTGATGATCAAACGATCCGACTGCCTATCACAAATAGAATCTAGATTTTGAAATAAATACATGCTCATTACCAGAACGGACAGAAGACCCAAAAGTCTACTCACCTGCATACATTCGCCTGCTGAATGAGAAGTCGCTGCCGGCCCGCCAGGGCTTCACTCTGCCAGTTTGATCTCCCAGCAGGACCCTCCCCCTCCGCCAAGCAGTCAGGCCCTCGAGGAGCTTCACCCTGGCGGTCTGATCTTCCAGCAGGACCCCCCCTCCCCCGCCCCGGCCAAGCAGTCGGCCCTCGAGGAGCTTCACTCTGCCGGTCTGATCTTCCAGCAGGACCCCCCTCCCCCGCCCCCGCCAAGCAGTCGGCCCTCGAGGAGCTTCACTCTGCCGGTCTGATCTTCCACCAGGACACCCCCCCCCCCCCCCGCCAAGCAGTCGGCCCTCGGGGAGATTCACCTTGCCAGCTTGATCTTCCAGCAGGACGCCCCCCCCCCTCCGGCCACACAAGGCGGCCATTCAAGAGTTTCTCGCTGGACGCTGCCGCCCTTACCAAAACGCACGGGTGGCCACAGGACTTCCCTGGTCCAAGTGTTCTGGACCACTGCGGCAGGACAGTCCTGGTCCTACTGTTTTGGAGCACTGCGTCGGGACAGCGTTGTCGGAGGAAGTGGACCGGTCTGGATCTGGTCTGGTCAGGTGAACCGGTCTGGAGGAACTAAGCTGCCGGGAGTTCTTTGGTCTGAATGAGGGGAAGGAGGCGAGGGGGGGAGGGAGTGAGGGCAAAGATCGCAGAAGAGCGTCGGAAGGATAAAGTGAAGGGATTATCACTAGACACCACAAGGGGCAGTGCCAGTCAGTGGGACCAAAGGCGATGTATACATTAGAAGGCACTGTCGAGTTAATCCAGAAATAAAGCAGTGCAGCTAAGCTGTGTTTCGCAGCTGTTCTTATCGAGTATTACCGGCACCCTTGACTGCTGCAGACTCGAGCAAAATTTCTCCCCAAATGGGTGATCCTCTGATGGAATAGGATTTCAGGCGGTGTGTGACTGAATTTGCTGCGCGGCACCCTGGCGTTTACATGGGCTCGATAACGCGGATGAAGACCAGCGGCCATATTTTTTCTTTCGCATTTCACCTGTCCCTGTACACCGGGTAAATAACTCGCTAGCGAGTCTTAAGTTGCGACATCATGGAGATGCTACTTTTGCGATCTTATTGCAGCAAACGTATTGATAGCACCTGGCCCACTTGCTGCCACTCTCGTCGTGTGGCGGAGGGGGCGGAGGCTGCTGGGCTCGGACGCCCTTCTTCTGCCGACGGCGCTCCCTGGCAGCGCACCGGCTGGCGTCCCACGCTCACGCTGCGATCTCCGCGTCGGGCGCGCGCGACTCTCATCTCTTTGGTGGTGGCGACCGGTGTCCACTGCAGCGCGAGGTCATTGCGCCCCCTCCAATCGGCCCGGCACGCTGGCGCGGCGAGCGGCGCACGTCAGACCGCGCACGCCTCTACTGCGCACAATGCCGGCCGCGCGCGCAAACAGTGCGAGGCGCGAGGTTTACACGAGCGGTGGGCGCGAGGCGTGATGATCGCACGAGCGGCGGGCGTGAGGCATGAGGATCGAACGAGCGGCGGGCGTGAGGCGTGAGGATCGCACGAGCGGCGGGCGTGAGGCGTGAGGATCACATGAGCCATCAGGCCTGATCCATGCGAGTGGTCGGGGTCTGCTGAGAGTGGACAGGCGGTGCCGCGCGCTGGACGCCCACTCCTGTCGGTCTCGGGTGACGACTGCCTTCGGGGTGCCGAGCGTGTGAGGAGCTTCGTCCGCCCGGTGGGTTCCGGCGCGCTGTGAAGACGTCGTCAGTAGCCGCTGTTCGAGCGTGGAACCAGTGCCATTCGCCGCACGCGCCGCTCATCCGTGCCACCGGTGCCGGGCGCCAGCAACACACGTGCTGCCGAACGGTGATAGAAGCAGAGCGGCGTGAGGGGAGAACCGGCGTACGTAGACGGTTTGACGGACCCCAGCTTGTCCACCAATAGCTGCGTCCTATTACATCAGAGCGGCAGTGTAACATCTGGACGCCAAGAAGCGACCACTGACTACCCAGCAAAAACAACTGACCTACCCTGAGTCCAAGGTCTGTCGCAAACAAGCGCTGCACAGACTTGTGAACATGGCAAACCAATCGGAAACGACCCCACTCTTATCGTCAGACAGCCGGATGGACGCCTCAGCGACCCCGCCTCCTCCGACTCCCTGGCCTCTTGCCCAGCTGGAGAGGATGGCGCCAAGCTGCCGGCCTTCTCCTGGCCGCAGAAGGAAGCAGCTGGCGCTGCTGGCGCTGGTGACAGCACTGACCGGCTCACTGGCCGCCCTCATGTTTCCCTTCTTTCCGGCCGAGGCCAGCAGCCGCGGCCTGCCGCAGACGCTCATCAGCGGCGTTTTCAGCTGCTTCGCGCTGACACAGTTGATCGCCTGTCCTCTCGTCGGCCGGCTCACCCCTGTCGTCGGCGTCAGCAGGGTCTTCAGCATGGGCATCGCCACGGCCGGCGTCACGACCGTAGTGTTTGGAGCGCTGCAGCACCTTGAAAGGACTCGACCTGCCTTCATCGCCGCCTGCTTCGCCGTGCGGATGCTGGAGGCGGTGGGCGCGGCGGCCGTCAACACCTGCTGCTCCACCATCGTCGCCAGCCGGATGCCGGAGCGGACCGGAACGGCCATCGGCGTGCTGACTGCCGCACAGAGCGTGGGCCTGGCCGTGGCACCGGCCGTCGGCGGCGGCCTCTTCGCCGCCGGCGGCTTTGGCCTGCCGTTCTACGTGCTGGGCGGCCTGATGCTGGCGGCGGCGGCGGTGACGGCCCGCCTGCTGCCGGCCGCCGCGCCGGAGCAGGAGCGCGGCTCGGCCGACCACTACTGGCGCCGACTGGCGCCGCTGGCGGCCACCACCGAGACCTGGGTCTGCCTGGCCGTGGTGGTTGTGTACGCGGCCGGCTTCAGCACGTTCAGCTCGTGTCTGTCGCCGTACGCTCAGGCCGCACTGGGCGTGTCGCCCTCCCAGCTGGGCCTGCTCTACCTGCTGGCGTCCGGCGCGTACGCGGTCACCAGCGTTCCTTGGGGCTGGCTGCTGGAACACGCCCGGAACCCCTACTACGTGATGTCTGCGTGCTTGCTGACGGCGGCCGGTGGGCTGCTGCTGATGCCGCCGGCGGCCGTGCTGGGCCTGCAGCCGTCCGTGTGGCTGCTGGGCGCCGGCATGCTGCTGCACGAGACGGTATTTGGCGGCGCCTACACGCCTTGCCTGGGGCGCCTGCTGGCGGCCGCCCGCGCGTGCCAGCTGCCGGACGACCTGGCCACGCGCGCTCTCGTCTCCAGCCTGTTCGGAGGCGCGTTCGCATGTGGCCTGGTGGTGGGCCCGGTGTCCGGCGGCGCGCTGGTCGACTGGCTCGGTTTCCCGGCCATGATGACGGCGCTGGCGGCAGTGACGGCGCTGATGGCGCTGCTGACGCTGCTGCAGGCGGCGCAGCTCACTCACCGCCGTCGCCAGCTGGGAGCGGCAGCCGGCGCACTCACCTGAGCGGCGCGCGGCGCGCGGTGACCCGAAGAGCCCGGCGCACTGTGACGCACAGAGACCGGCGCACTGTGACCCGAAGAGACCGGCGCACCGTGACCCGAAGAGACTGGTGTACCGAGTGCGGAGCGCAGCATTTCAAAATAAACTGCCCTGGTAATAGACTGAGATGGACTTGGTATACTTAAGGTCGCGAGTTTATGCTCACCCAACGTCTAAAACGGACGTCTGAAAGCATTCGTAAGAGGAACAAGAAGAGTGATGATCAAACGAGCCGATTGCCTATCACAAATAAAATCTAGATTTCGAGAGAAATACATGTTTATCACCTGTGATGACAGGAGACCCAAAAGTCTACTCACCTGCATACATTCGCCTGCTAAATGAGAAGCGGCTGCCGGCGCGCCAGGAGCTCCACCCTGCCAATTTGATCTTCCAGCAGGATGCCCCCCCCCCCCCGCCCCCTCCAAGCAGTCAGCCCTCGAGGAGCTTCACCCTGCCGGTCTGATCTTCCAGCAGCACGCCCCCCCCCCCCCCTCCTGCCACACAAGGCGGCCATGTCAGAGCTCCTCGCAGGACGCTGCCGCGTTACCAACGGACGGACGGCCACCGGACTCCCGTGGTCCGAGTGTTCTAGACCACTGCGGCAGGAGAGCCCCGGTCTTAGTATTCTGGATCACTGCGTCGTGAGAGCCCTGGTCCCAGTGTTCTGGATCACTGCGTCTGGAGAGCCCTGGTCCTAGTATTCTGGACCATTGCGTCAGGAGAGCCCTGGTCCTAGTATTCTGGACCACTGCGTCAGGAGAGACCTGGTCTTAGTATCCTGGACCACTGCGTCAGGAGAGCCCTGGTCCTACTATTCTGGACCGGTCTGGATCTGGTCTGGTCTGGTGAACCGGTCTGGACGAAGCGAGCTGCCAGAAGTTCTTTGATCTTGATGAAGTGAAGGAGGCGAAGGGGGGGGGGGGAGGGGGAAGGTCGCAGAAGAGCGTGGGAATGATGACGTGGAGGCGCATCACTAGACACCACAGGGGGCAGTGCCAGGCAGTGAGACCGAAGGCATAAGTGTACGTTACAAGGCACTTGCAAATTAGTCCAGAAATGAAGCAGTGCAGCTAAGCTGCATTTCGCAGTCGTCCTTGTGCAACATCATCAGCATTCTTTACTGCTGTAGATTCCAGCGGAATCTTTCCCCGAACGGACTATCCTCTGATGGAATAGGATTTCAGCCGGCGTGTGATTGAATTTGCCGAACGGCACTCGGGCGTTTACATGGGCTCGATAACGCGGATGAAGACCAGGAGCCAGACTATTTCGCATTTCAGTTGCCCCTGTAAATCGGGTAAATAACTTGATGGCTGGTCTTAAGTTGCGACATCATGGAGATGCTACTTTTGCGATCTTATTGCAGCAAACGTATTGATAGCAGCTGGCCCACTTGCTGCCACTCTCGTCGTGTGGCGGAGGGGGCGGAAGCTGTTGGGCTCGGACGCCCTTCTTCTGCCGGCGGCGCTCCCTGGCAGCGCACCGGCTGGCGTCCCACGCTCACGCTGCGATCTCCGCGTCGGGCGCGCGCGACTCTCATCTCTGTGATGGTGGCGACCGGTGTCCACCGCAGCGCGAGGTCATTGCGCCCCCTTCAATTGGCCCGGCGGGTGCGCGGCGAGCGGCGCACGTCGGACCGCGCACGCCTCTACTACGCACAACGCCAGCCGTGCGCGCAAACAGCGCGAGGTGTCGGGATCGCACGAGCGGCGGGCGTGAGGCGTGAGGATCGCACGAGCGGCGGGCGTGAGGCGTGAGGATCGCACGAGCGGCGGGCGTGAGGCGTGAGGATCACATGAGCCATCAGGCCTGATCCATGCGAGTGGTCGGGGTCTACTGAGAGCGACAGGCGGTGCCGCGCGCTGGACGCCCACTCCTGTCGGTCTCGGGTGAAGACTGCCTTCGGGGTGCCAAGCGTGTGAGGGGCTTCGTCCGCCCTGTCGGTTCCTGCGCACTGTGAAGACGTCGTCAGTGGCCGCTGTCCGAGCTGGAACCAGTGCCGTTCGCCGTACGTGCCGCTCATCCGTGCCGCCGGTGCCGGGCGCCAGCAACACACGTGCTGCCGAACGGTGATAGAAGCAGAGCGGCGTGCGGGGAGACCGGCTTACGTAGACGGTTTGACGGACCCCAGCTTGTCCACCAATAGCTGCGTCCTATTACATCAGAGCGGCAGTGTAACATCTGGACGCAAAGAAGCGACCACTGACTACCCAGCAGAAACAACTGACCTATCCTGAGTCCAAGGTCTGTCGCAAACAAGCGCTGCATAGACTTGTGAACATGGCAAACCAATCGGAAACGACCCCACTCTTATCGTCAGACAAGCCGGATGGACGCCTCAGCGACCCCCACCTCCTCCGACTCCCTGGCCTCCTGCCCAGCTGGAAAGAATGACACCAAGCTGCCAGCTTTCTCCTGGCCGCAGAAGAAGCAGCTGGCGCTGCTGGCGCTGGTGACGGTACTGAACGGCTCATTGGCCGCCCTCATGTTTCCCTTCTTTCCGGCCGAGGCCAGCAGCCGCGGCCTGCCGCAGACGCTCATCAGCGGCGTATTCAGCTGCTTCGCGCTGACGCAGTTGATCGCCTGTCCTCTCGTCGGCCGGCTCACCCCTGTCGTCGGCGTCAGCAGGGTCTTCAGCATGGGCATCGCCACGGCCGGCATCACGACGGTAGTGTTCGGAACGCTGCAGCACTTAAAAGACTCGACTGCCTTCATCGCCGCCTGCTTCGCCGTGCGGATGCTGGAGGCGGTGGGCGCGGCGGCCGTCAACACCTGCTGCTCCACCATCGTCGCCAGCCGGATGCCGGAGCGGGCTGGCACGGCCATCGGTCTGGTGGCCGCTGGGCAGAGCGTGGGCCTGGCCGTGGCACCGGCCATCGGCGGCGGCCTCTTCGCCGCCGGCGGCTTTTGCCTGCCGTTCTACGTGCTGGGCGGCCTGATGCTGGCGGCGGCGGCGGTGACGGCCCGCCTGCTGCCGGCCGCCGCGCCGGAGCAGGAGCGCGGCTCGGCCGACCACTACTGGCGCCGACTGGCGCCGCTGGCGGCCACCACCGAGACCTGGGTCTGCCTGGCCGTGGTGGTTGTGTACGCGGCCGGCTTCAGCACGTTCAGCTCGTGTCTGTCGCCGTACGCTCAGGCCGCACTGGGCGTGTCGCCCTCCCAGCTGGGCCTGCTCTACCTGCTGGCGTCCGGCGCGTACGCGGTCACCAGCGTTCCCTTGGGGCTGGCTGCTGGAACACGCCCGGAACCCCTACTACGTGATGTCTGCGTGCTTGCTGACGGCGGCCGGTGGGCTGCTGCTGATGCCGCCGGCGGCCGTGCTGGGCCTGCAGCCGTCCGTGTGGCTGCTGGGCGCCGGCATGCTGCTGCACGAGACGGTATTTGGCGGCGCCTACACGCCTTGCCTGGGGCGCCTGCTGGCGGCCGCCCGCGCGTGCCAGCTGCCGGACGACCTGGCCACGCGCGCTCTCGTCTCCAGCTTGTTCGGGGGCGCGGTCGCATGTGGCCTGGTGGTGGGCCCGGTGTCCGGCGGCGCGCTGGTCGACTGGCTCGGTTTCCCGGCCATGATGACGGCGCTGGCGGCGGTGACGGCGTTGACGGCGCTGCCGACGCTGCTGCAGGCGGCGCAACTCACTCACCGCCGTCGCCAGCTGGGAGCGGCAGCCGGCGCATCCACCTGAGCGGCGCGCGGCGCGCCGTGACCCGAAGAGACCGGCGCACCGGCAGCGCGCAGAGACCGCGACCCGAACAGACCGATGTACCGCGTGCGCAGCGCGGCATTTCAAAAGAAACTGCCCTGGTAAACTCCTCGATGGGCGTGCAGTACGCCTCTTCATTTAGATCGCTGAGTAGTTTAAAAACGTGTTGATGTGACATGCGCAACTCGCCCAGGCAGGTCATCGGAACCGATCTGACAGTGTCCGCCCCCCCCCCCCCTCACCCCCCGCCCAGATTGGTTGGTGCGTGGCACCCAGGCGCGGCGTGGTGTATATTCGGTCCAAGGCCAGAGACGGCGTATATGTAAAGCCGGCCTAGCCACAGTGCGACGTAACAAACCATTGAGCATGGTTCGAGGGATGGCCAACATAGAATCGAGCAAGGCATTAGCCCCGAAGGCACACGGCCCCAAGAATACGAACGTAAACTGTAGGTGATGATAGCGACAACATAACTCGACACACTCGTCTGCCCCCGCTAGATTATTTCTCCAGTTATGCCGAGTGTTAACGCTTGCTGAAATGTTTGCTGCTTAACTTATTGCTGGTTTGCCTGCTAATTAGCGTTCGTGGCGTTGGTTAGAGCACAGTCAAAGTAACGATGGCCTGAAATAAGTCATTAGAGAACGACGACAAACATTATCGGGATCTGGCCAGCACACCGTCGACCGCACCGTCGCCGTGCTTGTCTGGACGGACGCCGGAAGAGCTGGAAGTTGTGACATCAGCGCTGGGTTCAGGTTGCAGAGGGCGCTGCCATCGACCTTGCCGCAGCGCCGACGGCGGTCCGCCGTCAGGTTGGCGCGCGCCACACACGGCAGGGGCGTGGGCCGGTCACCGAATAGCCACGGAATATACGGAACAGAAATCCCTCTACCTCCTGGTGTATCAGGGATGGTCAGAAAAATCAAATATGCTGCACCGCCTGCTGGCAGTACAGTTTGAATGAGCGGCGGGGTCACGGATTTTGATTTGGGGGGGGAGTTTCCGAGCGGCTTCCTGGACAAAGAGAGGCCTTCTCACAGGGGCCTCCTAGACAGGGTCGCATTTAAGGGGAGCGGCAACGAGGGCACGTGCCTTTTACCACATTATTACATGCATCGGTCAAAAAATAAGTGTCGGCAATCAAAAAATTCAGAATCAGGGCCCTCTGCTTGTTCAATAGGTCTCGCCATCCTTAAACAGGGTCACCTGTGCCAGAAAAAGCCCTGCTGATGCATAGAGGGATCTTCTGATTCAGAACAGGATGCTTCCGATTCGCGGAGCGGCCTCCAAATCCAGTCGACGGTCATAGAGGGGCGTTCTTATTCAGAACAGGATGATTCCGATTCACGGGGCGGCCTCCAAATCCAGTCGACGTATCGCGGCACTGTCCGTCCGCGATCTCCGGCCAACGACACAAGCGGTGGACGCGCGATACATATGTATATTTTGTGCAGGTGGCCGGATCGACTTTGTATCCCGATCACGCACGCGTCACCGGCGTCGTAGCGTGGGATGTCAAGGCCGATGCGGCGCTGTCGCGCACCGTAACTAAAAACTATTTGATTGTGTTACACGATCGAGAACGAGTACCGAGAGGACACTGTAAACTAATAATTTGACTTCACAACTAATAATTATAACATCCCTATCTACAATCGACACGAATTGAGAGGGTAATTACAAAGACAGAAAATTACCACATGAAGCATTTGGCATACATTTAAGGTCTGACGCAAACGAATTTATATACAAACACGACGCGGTAGGCACAGGCTTAAAACGCTGCCGTGCGTTGACCGCCACAGACGGTCATAGAGCGGCCCTCTGATTCAGAACAGGATGCTTCCGATTCACGGAGCGGCCTCCAAATCCAGTCGACGGTCGAGATGACCTGTAATCCGAAAACAGGGCATCCTGATTCGGAGCTGAGACCATCTCATGCCTGGCAGGGGCCTCCTGATCCAGAAATGGGACCTCCTGAATATAGAAGTTACCTTCTAACCTAGATCAGGGGCCTACTAGTTCGTAACTGGGGCCTCGCGAGCTAGCCAAGGGGTCTCTAGCATTACATTCGGCCTTCTTATCTAGAGCATAGGCTACCTTATTCATAGAGATGGGCTGATGATTCAGAAAACCTTGATGACCTTGAAAAAGAAAAAAGCGGCAACCTTTCCTGATGCCTCTTGATGTAGACAAGGGTCTTCTGAGCCCGATTTATTACTCTTCAGCTGGCTTATGTGGGCCTCATTGATCCAGTTTGGTAACCCACAGGTAGCTTTAATGAAGTTGGCTAGGGAATAGAGGCCCCAAAAATTTTGAGTGGCCAAAACATGTTATGGCCCCCTTTACCCTCCCCTTTGCTGCGCCGCCCCTGGACCGAATCATTTATTCCTGAGTGTCTCACTCACGCGCCATCCACGTTCCGAAGCGTGCCAGCCTGTCGTCCAGCCGGAGCCGCCCTTATGGCCGTGCCCCGTCCTGAACTCCCGAGACCGCCTCAGCTGCATCAGAAATTACGCCGGCGGAATGTTAGTGCTTCACAAATTCATCGATCGGTCAAGAGTGGCCACTTCCGTCTTTTGGTTTTGTGTTGCCCATGCTTCCAGTCAGCAGAGCAAATTGTACTTTGAAGCCGAGACGTTGTGTACACAAAGCAAACAGAAGCAATTTCTGGGATGTCATGGAGAGTATCAAAGGACCCGCAGCGCTAGCGTTTTTCCATGGCATACATTATACCAAAGAATGACCAGATCCTGTTGCCAACGCGAGTTTCTTCATTCTGTGCCCGGCGCGCGCCGCCGTCTGGTGCCTGTCCCAAGATCCGTCTGCAAATTTGGTCGCTTCCCCGGCAATGGCTTATAGTTGGCAGGCTTTCGCTGGCTCGAATCACGGGTGGGTGATAATGACACTGCTAGTTCTTGCGTCGCTCACTAGATAGCGCAGCAGGACACATCCTAGCCAGCGGCATACCGCAGACATGCGTCAGGGTCGTTTTGGGCGCCCGACTTCCCGTGGGACCGCCGGTGTCGCAATACATAGCTGTGGCGACGCGGCGGCCACCACGGCCCGTCGAGCACGCGCCGGCGGCCGAGTCGGCGTCCCTGGCGAGGTCCCGGACCCGTCATGGTCTGATCTGGTCTGATCCGGTCCGGGGGAGATCCAGTCTGATCTTCCTGGTCTGGTCTGGTTTTGTCCCGAGGTCCGGCCCGCTTCGGTGGTCCGGTCTGGTGGTGCGTCGGTCCCGTTGTCCTGTCGGGTTCGGTGGTGTGGTCCGGTCCGCTCCGGTCTGGTCCGCCCGGGGGCCGATCGATAGCGTCCGCTCCGGGCCCCGACGCTGAGCCGCCCGTCGCGTGCTGCCCGGCTGGGGAGGCCGGTGAAAGTATTCCCTCCCGGCCTGGCCGTCAGTTACCAGTGACCGCCGCGTCGGAGACGACGGTGGGTGGGCGGTCGCGGACCGGGCGTGGCACAGGTGCGCCGGCGGCGGGCGCGCGCGCTGCCCCGGTCACCGGCCGACGAAGGGCATCAGATCGCTTACGGCACATGCCGAGGCCGCTTGAAAGCCCGCGCCAAGGTCTACCAGTCGGCGGGTGGGGCCCGTTGCGAGCGGTGAACGGTGTGCCGCTGTGCTGCGGCTCGGGCCACGACACTGCGGCGGCGCGTGTCGACGCTCGGTGCGGCGCGGGTGAGCGGCGCGCGCCGGTCACGGCTCCGTCGTCGGCCGGGCGCCGGCAGGCACGCCGCTGGAGGAGGGTGATGGCCGCCGACGGGCCGGCCCCGGCCGCCTCGCCGCCTTCGGAGTCGGCCGACCCGGACCCCGCCGGCTGCGTGCACACTTGTGACGAGGGCACGTGTCTCCTGCACGGTGAGTCGGCCTGCCCCGCCCTGTGTGACAGCAGGCGGCGGCTGACCTGACCCGCCCCATGTATTACCCCGCTGATCTGCTGCTGTCGTCCAGCGCATGCTGCTGAGTCCGCGAAGCCCGCGGTGCACGCGGCCCGGCCAGACTAGTCTGACCAGTCTGAGCGCTGGCGTTTCGACCGTCTGTGAGGCGACTGGCGAGCACGAGGGGTGTGGTCGGCGGAGACGGCGCCCAGACAGGCGCGCCATCCGACCAGACGGTGCCGGTGTGACCTTGCTCGTCCAATCACTGAAACCTGTTTGGGCCTGATACTCGCGTGCATTGTAGTTTTACGGTTTCATTGGCCTTAAGTGTCGGGCTATACGCGGATCGATATGGACTGAACACACGGCATTCTTTTTTCATGATGTTGCATGCAATAAGTTTAATCCTCGTGAACCTTCGGTGGCTTCATATCATACCAAGGTGCACCTGTGAGGACAGCTGCACTGTCGCCTGGAGTATTCCGCCGCCCAGAATGACCTGTGACTAGCTCTAGGTCTGCCGGCAGTAGTTTGGCTCGTCCTGTAACTGGCCATGCCCGCCGCAATAAGCAGCTCTGGCCTCGGTGTGGCCGCCCACACTGTCGCAAGGTCTGACAAATTGTCCTCGCCTGTGAGGCCGCCCGCGGTCCTTGCCTGAGGGGCCGCCCGCAGTCACTGCTTGTGGGGCCGCCTGCAGTCCTCGCCTGTGGGGCCGCCCGCAGTCACTGCCTGTGGGGCCGCCCGCAGTCCCCGCCTGTGGGGCCGCCCGCGGTCCCCGCCTGTGGGGCCGCCCGCAGTCACTGCCTGTGGGGCCGCCCGCAGTCCCCGCCTGTGGGGCCGCCCGCGGTCCCCGCCTGTGGGGCCGCCCGCAGTCCCCGCCTGTGGGGCCGGCCACACTCCGTCAGCGCCACTTCCGAGGAGGGCCGGTGGGCCCGCCTCGGGTGGCGAAGGCCGAGGCCGCTGCTGCAGCTGGGTCAATGGTAGCCGGATGGGTGACAGCCCGGGGACGTCGATGGGTGGAGGCCATCAGAGTGGATCGATGCGGTGAACAGGTGCACGCCTTCAGAGAAATGTGTGCTGGGGAAGGGAACACAGCGACATGCTGTAGAAGGTTTATGATAATTTGTCCCTGCCAGGATTAGGCGGTTGCGCATTGACATTTGCCACTGGCATGTCATCATACATCAAATCACAACATAATGATATATCGAAAGCTATCATTATTGTGCGACAAACCCCTCGAATGCGCTCGGCCGCGTCGTGCCACGCTCCCTCCACAAGGCACTCTGAGTGCGTTCCTGGCTCTTAGTGTGCGTCCCTGACTGCTGGGCCGCCGCGCCACGCTCCCTCCACACGGCACTCCCTGAGTGCGCTCCTGGCCCTCAGTGTGCATTCTTGGCTGCTAGGTCGCCGTGTCGTGCTCCCTCCACACGACACTCCCTGAGTGCGCTCCTGGCCCTCAGTGTGCATTCTTGACTGCTAGGCCGCCGTGTCGTGCTCCCTCCACACGACACTCCCTGAGTGCGCTCCTGGCTCTTAGTGTGCGTCCTTGGCTTCAAGGCCACCGTGTCAGGCCCCCGCCTTACGGTACTCCCTGAGTGCGCTCCTGGCTCTTAGTGTACGTCCTTGGTTGCTAGGCTACTTAAGGGCGTGACGACGACTTTCATAATGATGGTGGGATTTTGAGCGATCCAACTTCAGCGGCCATGTCACGTCCGCGGATAACGATATTGCGTTTCATCGTCGCGTGCTGCTAGCGTGTATCAGTCCAACACGGCCGGTTGACCTGAGGGGGGTCATCAGGTCAACGGGCTGTGGTGTTTTGCTGTCATAGATACCTGACACATGCGAGGAAGGCATTGAGCTCCTGGTTTTTAGACGTTACGAGTTCAGCGTTCTTATGCTGGCAGCCATCGACTTTCATTTGCCAAGAGGCACTGGTATGTAGAGGTAACTCTTGTACACCAGTGCCTCTTGACACATTGGAGGTCGATAACTCGTCGTAAGTGCCAGCCAGTTGTCGGCAGGTCTTAGAGGTGACTTAAAAATTAAACGTTACCAGTGTGTTGTTCGACATGATAGCTCATATTTTGCCCAAATTTACAATCGTGCCATTGATATTTTTTGACGTTCAGTGTTCAACACTGGTGGGCAGAATCCTTAAAGCATATCGTCTTGCAGGTTCAGGGGCGTAGTTTCCCAAATTAAGTTTTTTTTTTTGGGGGGGGGGCTGAACGATGACAAACGACGGAAAGTGTACCCAAAATTCATCACTAAATGTGATCATCCGCGTATTTGGCCCACTTCCCAAAATTGGGAAGAGGCTGGAGCACCCAGCTTCAAAAGAAGCTATACTCCCGCGCAGGTTCCGGATGGAAATGCCGATGACGCAATAACCAACACTTCGCCTTGTATTATTTCAAATATATCAGAGCGCCAAATTCAGTTGGCTGAATTTTACTTGTTACAATAAAAAGGAAACATTGGTGCGCTGCCTGTAGCCGTGATTGGGTTTGGAGTGTAGACAGTGCACTTGGCTTATGCCGCAAATAGAGCCAAACTTGTTAACGCAAAAGCCGGGATTTCGGAATGCTGTCGATAGGGCCGTCAAGTGGTGTCATGACCTATCCCGCCTGATTAGATAGCGTGACCACAATCGGGGCACGTGCGGCCACCAATCACAGCACATCGGCCGGTGGAGCTGACGCGGGCATGCTGCATAGCGCGAACCTGCTCACTGCAGCGTTCACATTCGTTCTCGCTCAAAAAGGTCGCATAGAGCATTCTCATATTGATGACGTCACGCGCCATTTGGTCCGGGCGTCGAGCGTCCACCGCGCCGGCCGACGAGTCTGTTGAGGGCGGGTCCCATAAGCGGCTTCTCTGCTTGGATGAGTTCGAGCGCCTGTCGAGCCGGACTGTGCTGAGCTCGCACGCGATGCTGGCGCCGTCTCGAGTCACTCACGTCTGAATGCCAGTCCTCAAGCCGACGCGGCGCCGGCTCGGCTTGACGCAGCCAGCCGAGAGCTGAGACCTGGCATACTGCACAGCCAGTCGAGAGCTGAGACCTGATATACTGCACAGGCAGCTGAGAGCTTAGACGTGACATACTGCCCAGGCAGGTGCTGAGACCTGACACACTGCTCAGGCAGGAGCTGAGACCTGACACACTGCACAGCCAGCCGAGAGCTGAGACCTGACATACTGTACAGCCAGCCAAGAGCTGAGACCTGACACACTGCACAGCCAGCCGAGAGCTGAGACCTGACATACTGCACAGCCAACCGAGAGCTGAGACCTGACATACTGCACAGCCAGCCGAGAGCTGAGACCTGACCTACTGCACAGCCAGCCGAGAGCTGAGACCTGACATATTGCACAGCCGGCCGAGAGCTGAGACCTGGCATACTGCACAGCCAGCTGAGAGCTGAGACCTGACATACTGCACAGCCAGCCAAGAGCTGAGACCTGGTATACTGTACAGCCAGCCAAGAGCTGAGACCTGGCAAGACTCAGGACATACAGCACAGACAGGAGCTTAGATCTGAGGCATAGGCAGCCATGAGCTGGGACCGGAGACGTGCCCCAGATGGCAGCTGGTTGGTGAGAGTCGCACGTGCCGCTGCCCTGTCATCACGGGTTTGTGGGATGCTACGCTGCGTTGGCGCGCGATCCCAAGCTGTGGTCCAGCGACGCGCAGCTGTACGGCGTGTGTGGTGCCGGGAGCAGGCCCGAGGCGCCGTCCGGCCCGGCTCTGCCCCACCTGCGGACAGCTGTGCACGCACCTGTGACCAACACTCCACACTCCCCACCGCTCGGCGGGGGCTCACATTCACCCGCCTCGCACATCGAGAACTCGAAAGGCACATTTGCGTTTGTCGTGTCTCGTTCTGACCCGTGCCCCGCCATGTCGGCAGGCCGTGTAAGTGACAACTGACGCTTGCTCAATATTTGAAGGAAGTCCGACTGCCAATAAGTTTTTCGCTGGTGATGTCACCGATATTCAGTTGGCCGGCTACCGCTGGAGTCGTATGTCTACCTGTCGCTCTCAGGTCTTCAACATCGTCCCGCCCCCCCCCCCCCCCTCCCCCACGCCCGCCGCCTCTGAGGCAACCGCTTCCGACGGAGCTGCACCTGGGCGGTCCTGGGTGACGTCGCCGGTCCTGGGTGACACTGCTGGTCCGGCACTAGTCCTGTGTCAGCCGGTGGACCGCGCTTCAAGAGCTATCGCAGGACAGCTGACCCTGGAGGCCCTACCCTCATCAGTCTGACCTTGTCTATCGCTCGACAAGTAGTTGGTATCTCCCGCCGCAGCTACGCAGAAACTTTGGCCAGCCCACTCAAAATATGATCATACCACAGACTGCCGGGCGCCACGTGAGTCCGGATTTTAATTATCTTTTTGAGCGATGGGTGCGTTGAATGGGAGTCCGATTTGAGAAGCTTGTCAGCATCCTTTTGAGATTAACTGGCAACAAGGTACGGTGTGTCCAAGTGCATAGCTGCCGTAAATCCAAATTTCCGCTCTTGCTAAGGCAGACACACTCTGATTAAGCCCTTTGCCGTTAACTTGACGACAGATTTACGCAACCAGCCCACAGGCGGAGCATACGTGCATCATAACCAGCCCACAGGCGGTCGCACGTGCAACAAGACGTGAATGTCGGCGTTGCAGTGCTATAGTCTCCCGTCCCCGCAGCAGCATTGCACCACCCTCTGGCAGGTTCGCGGGCAGCACCTGTAACCGATCGGGTCTTGCCAGGCTGAGGCGGGCAGCATATACGGGCTCTGTGGCTGGCAGCAATGGTCACGTCACGTGACGAGAGCGCACGAGGGTATCACAAGGGCAGCGACCCTCGCAGCCAGCCATGTCACCGGCCTCAACCACGCCCACCCTCTCGACCCACAAACGACCGTGTCAGGGTATGGCGTTCGCGGACAGCTGTGAACACGTCATACAGAGACTGCACACACCATGACATGGTCGGTGATGCACACGGAAGGCTCAGAAGCCAACGAAAGTATCGTCGTCGAGACTCGCAGCCTAACCGCCGATTCGAGGACTCGCGGCCTAACCGATCGAGACTCGCAGCCTAACCGATCGAGACTCGCAGCCTAACCGATCGAGACTCGCAGCCTAACCGATCGAGACTCGCAGCCTAACCGATCGAGACTCGCAGCCTAACCAATCGAGACTCGCAGCATAACCAATCGAGACTCGCAGCCTAGCCGATCGAGGCTCGCAGTCTGTGGGCCGCCGACCAGTGCCGTGCACCGGCTGCAGCTCCTGGGGCGGTGGCGTTGACGACCCGCTGGTGACCTGTCGTACCCCGGGCGGACCGCGGCCGGTCTCAGCGGTGCGGCCATGTCTGACGTGGTGCTCGGGATGGCCGCCGATGCTGCCCGTCGCTCCCCACCCAGCCAGGGGTTGGCACGGGACACGGGCAGCCCGGTCAGGGCTAATCAGCAGCGCCGACTGGTGCAGAAGGTCATGCTGAGGTCACAAAAACTGGTCATGCGGATACAGGAATGTTGCCAGATCTAAGGCAACGGTGTAACCGAGGAGAAAGCAGGGGACTTAGGTAATCGGAGCTTGTCGAGTCGTGCAGCTGCCAAAATGCTACTCTAGATATACGGGATCGCTTTGGTGTGTCTGCGACGGCGCGGGCTGAGCGCGTCAACACACCCAGGTGGTGGTGCGGGAACAATGAGGCCGCGTGGGCGCCCTTGCCGCACCTGATCTCAGCTGCGTGCGTCGGGTGCTGCAACAGCGCAATACGTCACGCGCCCCGGCTGGTGCTAGACGTGGTCGGTGTTAGAACACCGTCGCTTGAGAAAGCTCTACGCATCGCCGGTATCGCTCGGGCGATGTTAGGGTCTTCGCTCGAGCGGTTGTTACGTGTCGCCTCGGGGCGTGTGTATGCATCGCTGAGCGGTATGGGCAAGCCCTCAGCCTCGAGCGCTGTTGCGCGTCTCTGCGGGCAGGTGGTAATGCGTCTCTCGGGGCGGTGTCCACGTGTCGCTCGGGTCGGTGATACGTGTCGCCCGGGGCGGTGATTACGTGTCGCTCGGGGCAGTGATTACGTGTGGCCTCGGGGCGGGTGATACGTGTGGCTCGGGCGGGTCGTGATACGTGTCGCCCGGGCGGTGATGCGTGTCGCTCGGGCAGTGATACGTGTCGCTCGGGCGGTGTTCCACACGATTTGCTGGATCGGACGGCCGGCGAAAGGCCGGCCGCTGAGCCGACGGTCGGGCCGGTCAAGCCGGCCGCTGAGCCGACGGTCGGGCCGGTCAAGCCGGCCGCTGAGCCGACAGTCGGGCCGGTCAGGCCGGCCGCTGAGCCGACAGTCGGGCCGGTCAGGCCGGCCGCTGAGCCGACGGTCGGGTCGGTCAGGCCGGCCGCTGAGCCGACGGTCGGGCTGGTCAGGCCGGCCGCTGAGCCGACGGTCGGGCCGGTCGGGCCGGCCGCTGAGCCGACGGTCGGGCCGGTCAGGCCGGCCGCTGAGCCGACGGTCGGGTCGGTCAGGCCGGCCGCTGAGCCGACGGTCGGGTCGGTCAGGCTGGTCGGCGAACAGCAGCCAGCAGCGGCACCTGGCAGCGGCTGTCTAGAACTCGGCACGGCCGTGGACTTTGGCCTCAACCTTCCGCGAATGATGCCGAGTGTCACGTCTGGCTTGTCCCGTAAACCACAGCGGTACTTGTACATGGATATCAGGATTGGAGGCAGCCTTGTAGGCATTTGCCTCGGCTGGTAAAAGTTGTAGCCTTAAATCCTATGGAAGGGCATGCAGCAACACGTTGATATGCGTGTCACAGAGAGGAAACGTTAGCACGTGCTCTCCAACAGTATACTGGGAGGTTTTTTATAGCACAATCAGCACAATACACAGCTCTGTGCAGTTAGTTTAAGATCGATGTCAAAGGTCGGAGTCTGGAGTGACCTGCTTCCGTCCCGGCAATTACTGGATTAGGGCAAACCTAACAGCCGCTTTTTTGCTGGGCAAGCCCAACGGCAGGTGTGCCGTTGTGTCGTTCTGGGTCGCTACGTCGGCTCTGTCTGCTGGAGAAGAGGTCGGCGGGAGCGGGTCCGGACCGGGCCCGGCCCGGCGTGCCGCCGCACCGGCCCGGCTCTGCCCGCCTGTCACGGCCCGGGCCCATTCCCGGCGCGTGGTCAGCTGTGGCGGCCGGCCGACCCGCCGGCCGCCGTGTTCCCGATTCACCGGCGACATCGGCCGGTCTCCCGGGGCCGCCCGCTGGGAACGGAGCCACGCCACCGGAAGCCGCTGACGCCGCGCCGCGCCCGGCCGACGCACATCAGACACTCGTTAACGGTTTTAATTGTCGGGTAATGGGCGGCTGGTATCGGTCGGCGACGGGCTGCCTGCCTCTGCGTGTGGGGATGGCGCTGGTCGTGCACGCTATGTCAGGTGCCCTCCGGCCGGGAGACGCTGCAAGACGGCAGGCGCCGGCCCGCCGCCGGCGGCACGCGTGCCGTCCACTGTCCGTGGCTGGTGCCGGGGCGCTGCCAGATCCGCATGCTATCAACGCTGGTGCCGGGGCGCTACCAGATCCGCCTGCTGTCAAGGCTGGTGCTGGGGCGCTGCCAGATCCGCCTGCTGTCAAGGCTGGTGCTGGGGCGCTGGTAGATCCGCCTGCCGTCAAGGCTGGTGCTAGTGCGCTGCCGGGTCCGCCTGCTGTCAAGGCTGGTGCTGGGACGCTGCCAGATCCGCCTGCTGTCAAGGCTGGTGCTGGGGCGCCGACTGCTGTCAGGTCCTCGTCCGTTTACAGCTGTAGGAAAGGCTGTATGCTCCCATGTCCCCAGCTATCTGCGCAGGTGGTGCCGGGTGTCGTGCGACCAAATCTTACCGTCGGTGTTAACTAGCGCCGAAGCGTCCATAGCTGGTGTTAGGGTTGGTGTTAATATATCGATAGTATCAACACTGTCTGTGCTTCATATCCATATGTGGGAAACACATACTCTATTGGTTAATGGGCACTAGAGTCGATAGCGGATGCTGTTGCCATGGCCGAGACCAGAAATCATGCGCGTGTTACCTCAAACATGCAAAACGCCAAGCTGTAAAAATGGCGTCAACGTGATCCGAAATACAATGGTATGGCTTAACTGGCGAAGAACTATCATGTGCCCAGTACACAGCTATTAAGAATAAGAGCACAGGAGGGAGGCCAGTGTGACACGCGTGTCCCTCGCAGAGTAGCGCCGCTCACCGCCGTCGTGAGGCGGCGCGGATAATGTACAGCATATGCCGTATTGAGGAGAGTCAAGGATTGACGGCGGCTGGGATTTGGCAAGGCTGGGTGATTCAGTGTGGGTTCAGTGTCAAGGCCTTCCACAGTGTGGCGATAGCACACAGCTGTCGTGATGACGTGGAGGAAGTCTGTTCGTTTTTTTCCAAGCGCGAGGTTCTGAGACCTGACTGTCAGTGGTATTGCTCCTCCCCCCCCCGCCCCTCTCCCACCTGTCTGTGTCGCTGCATGTCACTGTCGGCGCGGCACGTAAAGCTAGTACGAACACTAGTCGGCGCGGGGCACGTGTAGTGTAG